TCATGACCTGAGCTGGAGTCAGATGCTCAACCGACTGAGCCACCGGGCGCCCCTGGACACCTACCTACTCTTCACATGCTGCTGGCTCGTCTCTTCCGCCAGCACATCGTGTGGGTCATTCATTATGCAAGGACACCCACCAAGGGCGGTGGGATGAGGTTGAAATCCAGCCCATGCTCGGCTCACCGGGCTGTATGCCCTGGAAGGAGGCTGTGTCTGCCTGGAGTGGCCCCTTTGCCTAATTTGCTTGAAAGCACAGTAAGGTCCCCGAACATGCAAGGACCTTTGCACGTAGCCTTTTGGACAGCACGCAGGTATGCAGTCTCTGTGTGAGCAGTCAGTTCCGGTCCGAGATCCAGATTCTTGCCTGAAATTATTCAGTTATTAAACGTCGGCAACAAATCAGATTTCTATGACACGGTTTGCGGGCCAAGTAAAACGTGCCTGCAGGGCAGAAAGAGCCTGGGGCCCGCCAGGGGACATTGCTGATGCATTTCCACTGCCTCGGTTTACAATGAGGCTCCGGGAGAATGGGGCACAGGGGCCCGGTTGGTGGCAGAGTCAGGCAGGGGAAGGTGTCCGCATTCCCCATCCAGGGTCCCTGGGATGGGCTCTCCTGCCCCAGGATCAGAGTGAGGGAGAGTCGTGGTGGGTGAGTTTTTAAATCACTGGCATAAAAATGCCCACAAACTTAGTGGCTTAAAACAATACCAATTTCTTATCTCATGAGGTCAAAACCAAGGTGTTGGCATAGCTGCATTTCTCTCTGGAGGCCCTAGGGGAGACCTGTTTTCAGGGACATGCACGCTTTTGGCAGAATTGCGTTCTGTGTGATGGTAGGACTGAGGTCCCTGTTCCCTTGCTGGCTGGCTGGCTGGAGCTCCTTCTCAGTTTCTGGAAGCCACTGGCATTCCTTGACTCAGGCTCCTTCTCCCTCCACCTCCAAAGCCGGTGATCGTGGCCAAGGCTGCCTCAGGTTTTAAGTCTCTCCTCCGCCTCTTCCTTCTGTGCACCTCTCCACTCTTCTGCCTTCTGCTTCCACTTTATTTAAAAGCTTTTAAAAAATGTTTATTATTTATTTTTTTGAGAGAAGGAGACAGAGCGCAAGCAGGAGAGGGCAGACAGAGAGGGAGACACAGAACCCGAAGCAGGCTCCGGGCTCTGAGCTGTCAGCAGAGAGCCTGGCACGGGGCTCGAACTCACAAACCGCAAGATTATGACCCGAGGGGAAGTCGGATGCTCAACCGACTGAGCCACTCAGGCGCCCCCTTCCTCTCCCACTTTAAAAGGCCCATTATGACACCTTGGGGCCAACTGGATAATTCCAGATCTCCTGATCTTCAGCGCCATAACCTACATTCCACCTGCAGGGTCCCTTTTGCCACATAACATAACAGATTCACAGGTCCCAGGGATTAGGACGTGAACATCTTTGAGGAGCCATTTTTGGCCCACCACACACGGTCGAGAGTGTTTTTGCAAGATCAGATGTTATTTCATTCTGTGCAGAATAAATACCGCAAATAAATTGTGTGCTCTAGTGGGAGAGGGGGATAGGGTGAGGGAACATTCCTGGGGGAACAGCCGTGACCTGCACTTTCAGACTTTGCCCAATGATTTGGCCTTTGGGGGAAGGTCACAGCCTGCTGCGGGTCAGAGATCATCCCCAAGGGCAGAGAGGGCTCAGGGCTCCCCCTGAGTCTCTTTCCTCCACCCTGGGTGGCAGGTGCGCTTCCTGGAGCAGCAGAACAAGCTTCTGGAGACCAAGTGGCAGTTCTATCAGAACCGCAAGTGCTGTGAGAGCAACCTGGAGCCCCTGTTCGAGGGCTACATCGAGACGCTGAGGCGGGAGGCCGAGTGCGTGGAGGCCGACAGCGGGAGGCTGGCCTCGGAGCTCAACCATGTGCAGGAGGTGCTGGAGGGCTACAAGAAGAAGTGAGTGCGGCCGGGCTGGGGGTGGTTATGGGTGTGGGGCAGGTCTTGGCTGGGTCCACACCACTCTACCAGAGGTGAGGGCCAGCCCAGGCTACCTCTCTGATGGTTCTGTTTTCTCAGCCTGCTCTATCTGGTCTCAGCTCCCAGCTCTTGTAGCCCCATCCTGGGAAATGGGGAGAGAGCTGGGGAGAAGAGGTACTCCCAGCCTGGGAGGGTAGGACACACATCCAGGGCACACAGTGGCCTAGAGACACAGAGAGAGGAACAACAACGGAATGGGAAGAGAGAGGTCGACAGACTGGAGGAAAGAACTTGGGAACAGTCAGCACTAGGATGTGGGGAGAGGAAAGGTCCCTGGGGAGGTATCTCCAAGATGATCCGGCCAATGCCATTCAAGATAGCCAATAAGCTTGGAGAAGTCGTTTATTCACTCTGTGGATAAATCACCAGGCTCTTGTTCTGCAAGGCTCTGCGATTCAAAGGCCCGCGTCAATCTTCCCTTGTAACCTGACTTGTTTAGGTTGGCCATTGCCTAGTTTAAACTCACCGGGTCACTGACACCTTGCTCCTCTTTCCCTGTTGATAGGGATGGAGAGAAAGGTGATCCTGACATAATCTGTCCTGATCATTCTACTTGGAAGTAACTGGAATTCGGCTCTTGGGAGATCGGGTGTTACCATCCAGATGGACCCAGCAATGGGTTTACACTTTCCTTGGGGGGATGCAAATGCAGACACAATTCTGTTTGCAGGTGTCAAGGCCTGTCTCCCAGTCTGGGGGGGGGG